TTATTGAGCTATTATAAATTTAGTCAGAAAAGGACTATTCCCAGGACAAATTTCCACAGCTTCCAGCAGTAAGTCCAGGTAGCAGTTGGAGAAACATACACTGAAAGAGAGCTAAGAGCATTTTGGTTTTTTTAACTTGGGAGGAAGATATGAACTCTTTGCATTGACTCTGAACTGGCTATTCCTAAGGGCAGGGGTATATGAAGAAAGAAAAGCTTTGGGCTAGGACAATCCATCGGGAAAACAAGTGTTTTTGTGTTGGCTAGGGCTATATCTGTTTTTATCCTGGCACCTAACAGTGCCTGGGAGCATCTGAGAGAACGACTTCACATATATGCAAGAATGTAAATACGAAATGCTCTTCGTTCTTGTCATCCTTCGTTCTTGTCATGCATCCCCTGCACTCAGACCTACTTGATTTAACTAAATTTAGAATACCTCTGAATCTTTCTTACCAACCCTCATGGAGACAAGAACTAGTCAGTTAGGATCACAGAGACGGGCAGCTGGGAGCCAGCAGGCACTTTCCCCGGTCACCCCAAGCTCCGTTCACTGCTCTCCATGCACCGCACAGGTCCTGTGAGTCGCAGCTGGAACCTTTACTGCTTACTCTTTCATCTGTCCTGTTCTTTCCCACTTACAGCTCTGCCTGACTCACAGTTTGGGATCCTTTTTTGCCTTCCATGTGCTCCCCACTCTCTCATTATCTTCTCACTTCACTAAATTTCAGCTCCTGAGGATAATGGTATTCTCCACCCAACCTGTCCCTGTCCCTCATAGGCTAAGCAGGGCCTCAGTGCCGACTTCTGATTCAGCAGGCTCTGGGTGATAGGGTTCAAGGCATAGCTGCCCTCAGCCGCCTGCTCAGTCGGGGCTGTGGAAGAAAAGCATGCTGTGGCTACTCGTCGAGTTCAGATGGTCTTTATTAAACAGGGTTTTGAGTCCTGACAGCAGGCTTTCACCTACACCACCACCTCTCAGGAACACCTGCATCCTTTGGCAGCCTCTGATAGTCTCAGAGATGACTTTTCATGTTCAGGGTATTTCAAATGTTGTATAACAGAATTAATTACATTTAATTAAACTTATCCATTTTTTATAGCTCCAAACAAATCTAAAATGCCATGTGCAGCTTATGAGATGGCAGCCCTCCAAAGGTTTCTACTGCCGGGCATATCTATCAGAGACTTATGTAATGTCAGGCATCATTTTACATGAGCAAGCCTGCTGAACGGCCTCAGCCTCGGTTAGCAGCAAGAGTCAGCCCTGTATCCTAGATCATCCTGCATCCCAGCTACTGATTTCCTCCTTTTCTCACACTCTAGCAATATCTTCTTTCTGCCTGGTCTTTTCATGGTACACTGAAATTAGGATTTTGCTTATGACCTTGTCCCACTATATGGTAGCAGGGAAAGGAACCATTTGTATTTCTTGCAAGTGTAAGGTCTGGCACATAGAACAGTTGTTCAAACCAATGACTACTTACATGAGGCTACACTGTACGCTTCTCTTACCTTACATGGTAGTCAGGTGTTACTGTGATAAGACCCTAAGCCTCAGTGAATTTCTTGTTCTACAGGTTGATAGGTGACAGTGGTGACTATCACGCTCACGTGTCTTCTCACTGGGGTCCCAGCCTGCAGGGTGTCTTCTCTCCGGAACATGCTCATGGAGACAGGCAGACTGCCTTGGTTTATAACCAGGACACATTGACTTTTATCAAATTCCATGAACTAAAATTAAATTATATGGCCAAATCAGTGCCAGTGGAGTTACTATGTTTCCATAACTGGAAAATAAGCCAAGGACACTCAATATACACATCCTACCTACAAAACAAACCCCAATTATGATTATCAGCCAGCCAGACAAAATCATTTAGTATGCCTGCTGCAACACACAATGGACACACTGAATTATAAAACAATAATATCAATGCATAATTAAATATTATCAAAATTAATATTTACAATTAATGATAATTATAATAAAGTACTTATAAATACCAAGTGGGCACCTTTGGATGAGAAATAAATGCCTATGTAAACAGATGAACTTGAGACTTATTGCTAAATGATCAGAGTACAAACACAACACATAAATAACATGGTACTTCTGATTGGAATCATGGTTCAATATGTTGTATGTTGAAATGGATGCCCTTAATGAACTCATGCAATACAAATTTTCTGAATTTTGGTGCCTACAATTTTTCTCACTTTTGTGTGAACCATCAGTCTTAACTGTCATCACTTTTGTTGCCACTCTTGTCCCCTAAGTCTTCAATTAACACTTGGTTTAATGAAAATTCTGTGAAGCCTAACCTGTAAGAATTAGAGTGAAGAATTCATGCAATAAAATCGCTGACAACAAGTTGTCTGTAGGTTTCACTACAAGCAGCTTACATGGTCAAAAAGTGCTCCTTTAGGGACAGCTCTACTGCTGCACATAAGAGACTAGGGCCAATGACCTATAGGAAACGAGTTGCAGGAAACTGAGGCTGGAATTTGGGATTTGGAAAGTTATGATGAAGTTTCAGAAAGCAATGACGTATGTATTTTAATAAATACAGATTTCTGTACATGAATACAGATTGTTGTACATGAAAAATACGACACTCTTTGAAAATAAGCCCTATTGTACCTTGTGGAGCAAAAATTAAAACAAGACTCAGTCTTATTTTGAGGGTAATATAATAAGAATATGCTTCCCAGCCAGGTGTGATAACACATACCTGTAATCCCAGCACTCAGGAGGCTGAGGCAGGAGGGTCACTGTGAATGCAAGACTAGCCTGGGCTGTAATAAGTTCAAGGCCAGCCTGAACGACATAAAAAGACCCTGTGTCAAAAACCCAAAATAGACTAAGCTTCCCATTGATGGCAGGGCTGGAGTGACTATATGCACGGTTACATGAATTTATCAGAACTATTCTGAGGTTAGTTTTCAAAATCAGCAAACTAACCCTCCTTATAATGCATACATTAGGATCCACACCTTCCAGGCACAGAAAACTATACAACTAGTTTGTGAAGGATCAGGAGGTTTCCTTTAACTAGGAAACGCAAAGAATGAAGCTGTAGCCCGGAGATTCCAACAGCGTCACCAGGGCTACCTCTTCTCTCTGCTCTGACTGCACGCACTCATCATCTTCCCCAACTCTCAGAAGTGACCCCTATTTGGCTGGGGAAATGGCTGCAAAAGCCCCAGCTTTACACCTCCCAGTGCGGGTACCTTCCCGTGGGTAAGGAATTTTTCTCTCTCATCTTCTAAGCATCACCAGTAAGGAAGGAGTCTAACTGTTCCGTATCCTGTACTGTATTCACTTCTGTGTCAACCTGTCTCCAGCGGGGGCTACAATGGCTGGCCAGATTTGGCCTAGCTGATGTCTGTGGTGACAGAATCTGGTACTATCCTACCCCTATACAGGGCAAAAGTATGAGTAGCAGGAATAGCTGCTGATTCAGTCCATTTAAACATATACTTATTACCTGAGTTTTCTATTAGCATTATTCTGATGACTTAACTAGCATTTTTTAAGCAGCAAAATTAAAATAATCTATCACAAAAATTTTAGTCAGGATCTGTTCCATTCCAGGGACAGACTACAGCTCAAACTAGTTTAGAAGCCAAAGCCCTTGCAATATATTTATTCAGTGTTTGCAAATAGGGAGTAAACTACAAGCCCTTACTTATGTCAAGAAACACAATCTAGAACTGTACAGAGGAAATTCATGATGAACCTGCAATTTACATATTCTTGCAACTTAATGATCTTTAAAAATATTCAAGGCCAAGAGATTCAGTATCAAAATCCTCAATTTCAAAATCTTCCAAAACTTTGTTGTTATGCACCAAGCCTTCTCTCCCATAATAGTCACTGCACCTCGCTTTTATGCCCACCACTCCATTTCTTTCTAACCAAACTGACAGAATGATGTGCAGTAATCTCAGCTCACTACTGCACTCATTAATTCACTAGGCCAATTACAAGGCAGCTGCCACATGCAGCTCTGGGATAGATAAGATGGATAAAACCTGCTCTTGTACTCTGAAGAAGTTTGCCATGTAACCAGAGCATGAGTCTTATAAACAAATGCCTAATATCACATAAAAAGCACTGTTAACAGAAGGATAGCCAGGGAATAACATGTTCAGATTCACTGGCTAGAAAGAGAATTCTTGGGGAGGTTGCATTGGAGAATGTGATATCAAAACACAGTACCAGTTAAGAGATTCTGTAGTTGGCAGGTAATCCCTGATGAGTGTGAGCACTGAAGGCAGGATCGATGAAATCAATAAAGAGACTCATTAAAGAGGAGGAACCAATAGAGCCAGTAAAGAAGAGATTGAGAAAAAGAAGATGTTAAACAGGCATCACGTTTCTCTCTTTGATGGTGGAAGATGCTAGTGCCACTCATGAGGACACTGAATACAAAGGAGGAGACAAATAGGCTGTATTGAAAGTGCCTGAGACATCCAAGTCTAGTGACATCAACACTTCCTAAGATTCACAACTGAGGTTATCCCTGTTACTGAAAATTATTTTGTGCGTGCACGGGATAGAGAAGGAGGTGAGGAACTGAGATGTGACAGAATGAGAAATCTAGGTTTAAAGCCATAATTTCATACAAAGGTCCAGATTTTCTCACTATATTCTTTCCCTCTGAAGAATCTTTCAATCATCTGCAACAAATCTGCTCTCATTATCAGGAACTGGCTTTGGGTGGGGACTGAAGGGAGAGCTGCAGGCCTCCATGTGCACACAAATTCAAGTTTTAGCCACAAAATCCTTCATCTAAGAACATTTACAGATTTTAGAAATGACTGCTAGCATATTTGCAGTATCAGTGAAATGATACCATGTTTGAGCAGGCTAAATTAACAATATAAAAAATAAAATCACTGTATCAAGAATTGGCAGTATATTTTAATCTCAGGAACCTACCCATGAGGGTGCTTTTATATTACGGAACACAATGAACACATTACTATTTTATTCTATGGGAAATACATTTATTATTGATCATTTCAATGGAAAAAATACCTTAGTCTTTCTTAGGGCTGATCTCTTTAGAGATATAAAATGTACATCAAAATTATGATCCATTTTAAGGGTAACATCAAAACTTTTGTGTAGCAAGCAAGAGGAATTACCAATAACAAAACAAAGACTTCAGATCTCACCTGTAAAACAAAAGGAGCAGAGGCTAAAGATGTAGTTCTATGATACAGCGCTTGCCTAGAATATGCAAGGCCCTAGGCTCAATCCTGCGGACCACAAACAAGAGAAGCATTTCCACAGTTATAAGCAGCAGAAAACCATAGATAAAAAATCTAACAGAGCACACATTACAGAATGGGATCAGGAAACTGCGTCACCCATCCTGACTCTGAGTGTCCTCCAGGATGGTGCAAAGTATGGCCTTGAAAGGACACTGAGACGCAACTGCTTCTGTCTGGAGAATATGCACGTCCTCTGGAAATGGAATTCATGGGACTTCAGTACGTCAACATCAGCTGTTTGTTTTTTAACTTCTTGCCCACATGATGACATCCAAAGGTGTCAAGGAGCAGAGAGCAGCAGGAAGTTTTTAGCTTTGACTTCTGAGCAGATGTAACACCAGTTCTTCATCCTCTGCTAAAGACAGGCCTGTATCCAAGGGCTCCAGTGTCTCCCACTTCGCCTTCTTTCTATGGTGACTTGCTGGTCCCACAGCTTCTACTTCGCTGTTGTTTCTTTTCTTTATCCCCTGTTTCTTCTTGGCATCACTAGTGGGAAGAAATCCAATGATTTATTTGATAAATAAATAAACAGTGGTATGAAATCAAACATCTAAAATGGACAAAACTGCCAGGAACAGATAGCTGGTAAAGTGCTATTATTCAAGAAGGAAAGAAACCACAACACCAAGACATCTCAGTCATATGTAGCCACCTTCTCATCAGCAGATGAGGAGAGGGACTGCCACAATCAGGGAAACATAGAGCACTCTATATACACCATATTGCCCAAACATTACACAATTCTAGGTATGCTGGCTACAATTTAAAGATACTAAAAGAAAACAAAGATACTGAAAGGCCCCTTAGGTATGTCTGGCTTCAGTCTATGCCTGTCCTATCAAACTACCTCTACCTAAACTTAAGTTACCCTTTATGTAGCAGTCTGTGGGGATGACAGGTAAGAATGGCAGGTACTGATTCTAATATTCATTGCATTAAGTTGTCAGAAGGAGAATATGAGTAAAATATAACATAATATTTCAGATTACTTAAGGCATTAAGTTTCTTTCATTTCAAATCTGTATCTAGGACACATAGTTTTAAGAAAGTGAATATTACTGCAGCATTTTGCACATAAGTAAGACATATGAATCATAAAAATAAAGCTAATTTCTGAAAGCAAAGGAAATCACTTGATACATTAAAAAAAAAAGTACAAAAACCAGTATCTTCAAGCACTCTGCAGTAACATCATGTTCAAGATGACCAAAATAGAGGGTCTGTAGCAAGATGACAACTAAGATACTTCAGCAATCTCGCTCTATAGACATAGAAAGGTAGCAGCTTCTATGAATACATATAAAACTACCAGAACAAGAGCTAAGAAAATCAGTTGGTATACTTCAAAAACAACTTGTAATCAAACCATGTTCTTGTAAGCTTAATGCTAACCACAAAGCTAAAATCTATGAGACATATTCAAAGTAATAAGCAAGGAATAATAAAAAAAAAAACTACTAGAGTAATTGAGGATAAAGAAAGTACACAAAACCAAAAAACGAGTTATACAATAGCTGTACTAATATCTTGCTATCAATAATTGCTGAGCTGGTTAAATTTCATAGTAAACTTGCTTGGCTCAGGAGCTACCTAACAGGTCAGTGAGACATACCTCTGGGTGTCTGGTTGGCTCATGCAGGTGTGACCTTAGTACTAAGTATGGTCCTTGACATCTTTCTTTCTGACACTATTTGGCTGCTCTCCTTCCTGGCTGGCTTGATCCAACTGTCTTTGTTCTACCACACAACTCCAACCTGTTGGATCTGCCTTGGAGCCAGCAGGACATGGGCTGAATCCACTGAAATCATAAGCCAACTTACACTTATCCTCCTCTGAGTTGTGGGTGTTGGGTACTGGGTTGCAGTGATAGAAAAGCTGATTTGTATAAATATATTTAATTCTCCAATTAAAAGGCAATGCCTAAATGGAATAAAATAAGATCTAACTGTATGTTGCTTATCAGAAACTCACTTTTCTCTCGAAGGCTATAGACAAAGTGAAGAGATAAAGTATTTCAAGAAAATGGAAGAAGAAAGCAGGATTACTCATACAGTGTGATTCAGACCTGGAACGGCCCCCAGAGACTCTCATGCTCAGAGATGAGGCTTATAGAAGGTGACTGGATCCTAGAGAGTGCTACGCATCAGAGAATTAATACGTGGGTAAGTCTGGAGCTAAATGTGCTGTAACATGGTATAGGATGGTTGGAGTTTGTTAACTGGGGGTTAAGTATATAGAAAAGCATATGTCCCTCCCCAACTCCTCACTTCTCTCTGCTTCCTCACACCACGACTTGAGCCGCTTTCCTCTTCCCAGCCCTCCCACCATGTTGTTTCTGTGTTTGAGCCTGCCAGCCATGGATGGAAACTTCCAAAACATGAGCCCAAATAAACCTCTCCTTACTTAAATTCTTGGGTTTAGGTACTTTGTGACAGTCATAAGAAGCTGATTAACATACCATATTAATCACCAAGCTAATACCAGGTAATAAGACTAAAGTTAAAATCAGTTAAAATGACTGAAAAAAAGTCATTTTATAATGATATAGATGCAATTTCAGCATGAGGAAATAATTCTAAATATATATGGATTCAATATCAGCCCAAATATGTGAAGCATGTATTAAGAGACCTAATGGGAGAGGCAGATTCTAATGCAATCATAGCTGGGGAATCTTAACACCCCACATTCGGCAATAGACAGATCATCCCCATAGAAAATCAGTGAAGAGCAGTTGAATCATCCTCCAGACCAAATGGACCTAACAGACATATACTAAATATTCCATCAACTGCTATCAAATACACATTTTCTCAGCAGCATATGGAATACTTTCTAGACTAAATATAATAGACTACCAAGCAAGTCTTGGCCTTTTTTTTGTATTGGGGATCAACCTCAGGACCTTGTACTTGCTAGGCAGGCACTTATGCCACTGAGCTATCTCCCTGGCAACACATTTCAAAAACTGAAATCACATCAAATATCTTTCTGATCAAATGCAACAAAACTAGATATCAGTAACAACAACAAATGCTTTGTGAACTACATAAATACATAGAAATTAAACAACTTACTTTGAATAACCAATAGCTCAAAGAAGAAATTAAGATTAAAAATTTCTTAAAATAAAATGGAGACACAACACCCCAAAACCTATGGGATAAACCTAAGTAGTACTGAGAAGGATGTATAGCAATCAATGCCCACATTAGAAAAAACAGATCACTGATTAAAAAAAATAAAGCTATCACTATAACTTAAGGAACTAGAAAAACAAGAACAAGCTACATCCAAAGTTAGCTGAAAGAAATGATAAAGATCAGAGTAGAAACAAATATAATGGAGAAAAAAATTACAAACCATCAATGAAACAAACATTGAGCCAGCTCTTTGATAAACAAACCCTTAGCTATACTAATAAGAGAAAAGGAAACATAAAAACATCAGAAATTAAAAGGGAAACATTATATCTGACATGGAAAGGTACAAAAAGATCATTAGAAACCACTCTAACTATATTCCAAACAACCTGATAATCTAGATGAAACGGATAAAAATCTTAGACACACACACAGCCTACCAGGATTAAATCATAAAGAAGAAAAATCAGATCAACTACAGGTCATAAGACTGAATCAATAATAAAAAGCGTACCACTGAAGAAAAGCCCAGGAACAAATGGTTCTCTTGCTAAATTCTAAACAATGAAAGAACAACTAATATCAACTCTACTTACATTATTCTAAAGACCGAAAGAGAAAGGAATTCTTCTTAACATTCTTCAAAGTCCGCATTACTATGATGTCCAAATCAATGACACATGCACATACAAAAAAGTTGTAGGCCAATATCCTTAATGAGCACAGACACAAAAATCCTTCTGAATAAAACACTAGGAAACCAATTCTACCAGCACATTAAAAACATTATTCACTATGATCAAGTGGAATTAATCCAGGGAAACCATGACTGTTTGATACAGTATATGTAAATCAATAAACATGGTATACCAGAGTAAAAGAATGAAAAATAAAACACATAGGATCATCTAAACTGATACAGAAAGGAACTTGGCCAAAATTTAACATCTTTCCATGATAAATATGTTGAACAAATTAAGCACACAAAAAATATAGTTCAACTCAATAAAAGGTCATTTATAATACACCAACAGTTAACATGATACTGAATGACTTTTTTTTTTTTTTTTTTTAAAGACTTGGAAAAAAAACATGCATGCTGACTCTCACCATTTTTATTTATCATAGTGCTGGAAGTTCTGGCCAGAGCAATTAGGCAGGACAAAGGATAAAGGTCATTCAAATTAGAAAAGCTAACTTTTGACACTACTGTGGAGATAACCAGATCTTATATATAAATATCAAAATTTCTATTAAAAAATTAGAATACTACAAATTCAGCAAAGTTGCAGGACACAAAAATCAACAAAATAATTAGCACTATTATTATACTCCAATAGTAATTACCTGAAATAGAAATCAAGAAAGCAACCTAATTTAATATAGGTATTAAATAATATTTATATACAAAGATACCTGAGTTCATGAACTTAATTCTTTCTGCAATTTGGGTTGCCAACTTAATTAGACAAGAACCAAACCAAATGCAACAGTCAGGTTCAGTGTAAACCTTATGAGGAAATTTAATTCAATTTTCATCCAATTCAGTCTGTGACTAGAATTATGTATAGAATTAAGTTTATGTACTGAGGTACCACTGTAATATTATAATATGTAACACATTATACATATATTATATAGTATTTAGCATGCTATATATGAACTTAACCAAAAAGACGAAAGATCTATAATAAAGATCATAAAACAATGATAAATTGAAGAGGATGGCTAGGGATACAGCTCGGCAGCATAAGTGCCTGCCTGGGAAGCACAAGGTCCCGAGTTTGGTCCCTAGAGTAGAAGAAGAAGAAAGAAGAAAGAAAGAGGAAGGAGGAAGAAGAATGAGGAGGAAGGAGGAATGAGGAGGAGGAGGAGGAGGAGAAGGAAGAAGAGAAGAAAAAGAGGAGGAGGAGGAAGAAGAAGATGACGACAACAATGATGACAACATCAAAAAACTGAATGACATCAATGCTCATAGATAGAAAAAATTGGTATTATTAAAATATCCATTCTACCCAAAGCAACTTACAGATTCAAGGCAACCCATATAAAAATAAAGAGAACAAAAAAGGAGACATTAGCCTGACTACCTGACTTCACAAAGTTGTAATAATCAAAACTACGTGATATTTTGGCACAAAAATGAACACTGACGAATGAACAGAGAATAAAAGTAACTCACACATCTACAGCAACTGACTTTCTACAGAGTGCTAAGAACATACACTAAGGAAAGTCTTCAGTGAAGGTGCTGGGAAAATTCTATGTGCAGACTCAAACAAGAACCTAGAAACCCACCTCTTGCCAGTTACAGAAAACAACTTAAAATGAGTTAAAAACTGA